TTCCTAGAGGCAGTGCATTTATGGCACACTGTGTTATCAGCAGAATCGTGCAACCTAGTGATGTACTGAACCATTTAGTTTTTCAATACATAAAGTTAGTTGCAAATAATAGTTTATTAATGCAGTGATAACCCAGTACTCTATGATCTACAGACACCCACTTAATTGGACACCCATATATAACAGGCAGTTTTGTTTGTCCTGAGGAAAAGCATACATTTTTTCTTTAAAATTAACCGGCTTAGTACGCACAGTAGTTAGCACAGTAGTTAATGTGGACAACAACCACTTTTCTGTGTTTCAAGTCAGAAATTCCTATATATTCTTAATCCAGCTTTACAAACACTGGTTACCCAGGCACTTTCTGTTTTTCTTGTCACAATGATGTACCAGTTGTAGACATTGTACCAAGTTCACGGGTTAATAAGAGTTTATTACCAAAACATCTGCAGCCAATGACACATTTGATTTTGATACATCTTTCTTTCTTCCCCTGTTTGTAGTCCTTTGATAAATTTTATGCCTCCTACTCAACAAGTTTCACGTCCTTGGCTTTTGCCACACATTGTTCCTACCCGTCTTCCTCCTTGTTCCTTTATGCCATATATCAAATAAATCACGTGTCTGTGACTTTTTTCCAGAGAGCTAACTTAATATGGACACCCGGATAATACGGACACCCAGATAATATAGACATCATAACATGTCTGTATTAACCTTTCCACTGTATTAACCTTTCCACATTTTCTTGTCTAGCCAAAGCTTCAAAGCTGGTAAGAGAGCATCCAAAAAATGTACACCTGGGTTTGAATAATAAATAAATTAAAAAAAAAAACGTCACATACAACAATTTCATAAAGTTATCTATAAAAGTTATGGGAATACAAGGGGTTATCATTAAAAATAGTTGGATGAGGTGAAATCTCTGCATTTTTATTAGCGCTGCAATTTATAAGTTGCAATAATGATCTGCAGTCGATCGATAGGGAAGGCATAGGTAGACACAGCCTTTTCAAAAAAAATATGAGCTACAAAGAATGTGACAGTCTTCAATGTCAGCACTGAAAATTATTAAATTGATATACCAAATCAAGAGCGAGCGATCCCCTTATTTATCTATTTATATTGAAAATGAGTAAATTAACATTTCTGACAAAGAGATCGAAAGAGAACTTAACATTAGATCTAATTTTAAAATCCTCAGCTCAGATACGCAACACTAAAGTAACAATATATTAAATTTTCAGCAATAAAGGACAGCAGTACGTTTAAGATTGTAAAAAACACATGCATATGACAACGAGCTGGCTGCTTTAGAACTGAAACTTAGCTGAACTGAAAACTGTACCCACTCTGATTCGCTGTACCTGAAGAGCTATAAAGCAAAACTTAATCTACACTTGGATAAATAAGCACTCGAGAGTAGCTAGAAGGCAGGTGAAATTGGTGATCTCGATCGTCTTGCCTGTGTATTATTATTATAGCTAGTACGTATACAAATACACCTACCAGTAGTCCGAATCTCCGTCGGCACAAACTGCATAAAATACGACTTGGTGAAGTGTGTTTTTTTCTTCTCTGAGGCTAGCTGCCCTTAGTATTTGACTTTCTCATATTCAGTCGGTGTTGGTTCTACCGAGTCATCGTAATCTACGATTTCCTCCTTCACAATTCCAGAATCGGGCGAAGGCAAGCGAAGCTTTGAGAATCGCTCGCAGTTTTCTCACGGTTCAGGTTTGTTTTCTTGGCGTGTTCAGAAAATGACGTCACAATCAGAGAACAATAGCTTTGTCACTGGAACATAAATTTGTAATGGCGGACGCGAAAAACCTACATTTTCAAGCTCAATATTTTCACTTAGAGGGCGCCAAAGTTCATTTCAATGACCGAAACAGGTACAGCCACTTCTGATAAGCTGAAAAGAAAGCGTTTTTGTGACAAACTTGACATTAAATTTTGATCGTAGTAGCACTTTAAGGTGATTTTTGAAATTAATGTACTATAAAGATTATTTGGGCAAAAGATGAAGAAATGCAAAAATTCACGACTGTCAACCGATTCTCGAAAATTACAGACATTGGCTCTTAAACAGCGTGATTTATTGTGAAGTGGTTTACTGTAGCTGACTTTTTGTACGCTCGAAGCTACGAGGTCGCTTTGTCACAGTCATTTAATTTGTGATTTCGGGATTTCCTCGCAAGATCAAGTTTGCCTATAAATAGAAGTTAATTTATGGAGAAAAGAGGAAGGCAAATATTTCGAAAATTGTGTGTGCCAGCAAGTTAACAAGGCAAAGAACTTTGGAGATAAACAACGCTCACCTTGATCGTAGCCGCTGTTGACAGCATTTGCAAGAAGCGACAAAGAAAACTTTAGCATTCACGGTGAGTTGACAGAAACAAATAAAGCTCTACTTTTTCTTCTCAGAAGTGGGAAGTAATTTAAATTTTCGGCGTTTTCTTTTAAACCGTAATGATGCTAAAGCTTACAAAACTCGATACAAAAAGATTAAAACTATCATTTCCCATGTTGAAGATACTGTAAAGATCTAACATTTGCGCATCCACTGTTTACGGCTTCGTGTTCACGCGTGAATTTACCCGTCAATCAAACTAATCGTTTTTTAATGGTTTCCTGTCTGATTCTGTTGAGATCACTTCGTGTGAATATACTAAAACAATTATTCACCTCAGGCTTTGTTAATATTGTTGAATATTCAACAATATTAACTTCGCCTTCGGCGAATAATTGTTAAATAATATACAACTAACGTTGAAGACTATTAATACAAAATTGAATAACAGTGAAAAATCTTAAATTGTACAAGATAAGGAAAAGGAGAGACTTTAATTAAGATTATGGATAACTACTGTAGGCACGAGAGCCGGGCAAATTCAGTAAACTGAAATCCACTGTCTTCTCATCAAACTACATGTATATCCTCAAACTACTCCTGTTGACATTTGAAAAATACTTAGTGCGAAAGCTGTTTCGATAGAGCTATTTTCGTATGACATTTAAACGAAAACGCGCGAAAAAAGAAAAAACAACAACAAACGAACGAAATAGAGCGATTTGAATGGTTTATCGAACGGATATAAACGCGCGTGACCTTTGTTTGGTTAAGCGGACGCTCGGGTGGAAAAACGTTATGCCCGAGAACTTTCTAGAAATCAACCGATACTTTGCTTTGACGTCATACTCTAACACGATTGGCCAATTGAACAATGGGTTCTCCATATTAGGGTTTTCTTTGGCGGGAAAACGAAGAGGTCACGTTTTGATCTTTTAATCCATTGGCTGATAAAACAAATGACGAACACTTACCAAAACCATTTTTCAAGGTCATACGAAAATCGCTCTATCGACGTGTTAACGTTTCTCGGCTCGTTAGGCAGACTTAAAGGTCACCCCATGTAAGGGAATCCAAGACAGTCTTGGATTCTGGATTCCACAACGTGGATTCCGGATTCCAGGCACCTTTGTAGAACTTGGATTCTGGATTCCAATCCTTAGTAGGGTTCCGGATTCCTTGAGCTGAGTATTTTCGGATTCCAAAGCCCAGGATCCGGATTCCACAAGCAAAAATTTCACGGATTCCGGAATCCGCATTCCCTTACATGGGGCGATAAAGGTGATATTTGCTATCTTTTTAACAAGCTAAAACTTGCTTCGCATCAACTGAATTCCAAAAATAATGGTCCTGATTTGTTATTTTAGGAATCGAAACTGTTTCTTGTTGTCTCTTGCAACGGTTGGCAAGGATAGACATGGATTGAAACTTGAGAACGTTGGGCCAACCTTCTCAAGTATTAATGATATGCCTGTAAAAATCACCAAAACATTATTTTGTTATAGTTAGTGCTCCTTAATGAAAATTGTTCCTACCACCAGTCTTCATAACTTTACTAGAGCATTTTTGTATGGATCAGTAAAGGTGCTAAGTAAAGATTGACCTAAGAAAAAAATCCTAAAACAGCAACATTCTCGTGCCCCTTTAATCTCCTTCTCTCAACCCTAAACACAAACTTTAAACATGCACGAATCAAAAGAGACCGCGTTTTGGGTCTTTCCGGGGCAGGTCTAGGATTAATTTTTAGCACTTAAGTTTATCGATTTGAAGTAATTTTAAATGCCCTGAATTTTTGCAGTTGCTGGTCTCACGTAGGCTGCCTTAAGAGTGGCAAGCAGAGAATTTCCATTGGAAACTTTTGTTTCTTCCATGGTATTGTTGTTCACGAGATTGGTCATGCTTTAGGTACAAGTATACTTTCTTATTTACTTTAAAAGGTATCTTAGACCGTTTATGGATAAAAAAATATCGGATCTTTGTCCTGAACACCCTAAGTGAGACCAAAATCTATGCTTTCTTCCCAGTAAGCAAAACGACGAGCATCCTCGTTATTTTCAAAGTGGGAATCCACCAACATCCACAGCCGGACGAAATAATATATTGGAATTAATCCTAAAGGAAATTAACCAATAATCAACTCAAGATTTATTTGACTCCCTGAAAGGCAGATATTTTATACTAAAACAGAGAGCCAAACAAGAGTTGAGGGAATTTCAATTTCAATAAAGGCGTTGTAATTGAATGATAGCCTGCCTTTCCTCTGATAGCAGTAAAGGAAATAGGAGACTTCTGAGATTTATCCTTTTCTCCTTTATCTTATTTTATTTTATATTTTATATTATATTATTATTATATTTTATATTCCTTATCTATTTTTTCACTTGTTTTTGGTTTCTTGATTTCTACATTTAGGGCCCATAGCAGTACCTGTATGACGGCAAATAGTAGCGTTCCGTCCTCCACCCGCCCTCTGCACTCTAAGGGCCCTACCAGCTTTTTTGTTTGTAGCCTACTAACATGATCATTTTGAAATAAGCAGGCCGTTCTTTTTCAAACATATAATAGGAGGTTTACAGTTCATAGTAAGTACATACCATTAGGGAAGTGAAACACTACAACACGATTATCACGGATTACTTCTTTCACAGGATTCTGGCATGAACAGAGCCGTCCTGATCGAGATAATTATGTGGAAATTGTTTGGAAAAACATCAAAGAAGGTATTTATCTTTATTAAAAGACTGAAAAATAATACTGACTTTCAGCGCCCAAGTCAGTGATTCAGTGGTTGCATCTCTTGATTGTTGGTAGTAGATGTACTCTAACAAGATTCATCCTTTAAAAGTATTCTGCACTTAATGTACAATGTCGTTGAATGTTTGAATTCCTGCCACTTGGAAGACGTCAGTTTCGTCTGTTAGGATGAACCGCTTCTGTTCTGGGTCTTGGTTTCAGGTACTCAGTGGAATTGATGACGTATGGTGCTGAGGCATACAGCATGTAGCATGAAGCACGAAAAACTCTAAATGAGGGACGAATTCAATCGCGAGGGAGGCCCGAATCCAGGAAAGAGCTTGACAGCTTTCTTGTGAAGCGACCGAAGAGTAGGCGGTTCGAGGGTGTGATGTCGAGAAAACTTATATTGCAATTTCCTCTTATTTTAATTCATTTATTTACCTATTTATTTACTTTAAAAAATCGGTCTGTTTTAACAATTCATCAATCTTGTCCTTGTGGCCTTTCCCTTGGAATCCACGAGAGAGGAGCCCTCGAAACGAGGTTGAACGATTTATCGCAAAAGAGAATATCGATATCCTCATTTGTTTATTTACCACTTACAAATACCCCAAATGAATAGAACCATTATGTAAATACATTGCATTTGTCTTGTCTGTACCCTCAGAAAACAAGCACAACTTTAAGAAGTATGGCCATGGTTCTATTGACAGCCTGGGAATTCCTTACGACTACGGATCCATAATGCATTACGGGAAGCGAGAATTTGCAAAGTGGCCATGGCAAACTACCATACGACCTAAGAAAAAAGGGGTTTCCATCGGTCAACGAAGTCACCTCAGTCCACTGGATGTTAAGCAGATGAATCTTTATTACAATTGCAAGAAATAAACCTTTTGTGCTCCTTTCTAAGTCGAAATTTCGGAGAGAGAGAGAGAAAAAAATAACAATAAACATAAAAAGGAACGGACAATGGAACTCTTCCCTGAAGTGGATCTGTCTTCCATTTTACAACGAGGCTAAAGTTGATGATACAAGCCTTTCTGCTTTATTATGTAAATCATGTAGCTGTTATGCTAACTGGTATTTTTTATTAATAAGCATAATTTCCATGATAAAAAGAAAGAGCTTTGTTAGGTCAAGCTCTGCCTCACATTCACTCAAAGGCTAGGATACTAAGCTCACAACTGTAAAATGGTCACAGGGCTTTTCTATGCTTGTGTTCACCAAAGCAGGAGTTGAGACTTCCAAGCGCATTTGAGTATTTGGCATCCATTATATGGCGGATGGACATAAACCTTATTCAAGCATCCGCCATCTTTACACGCGCATCAGGACTGATGGGATAAAAGCAATGTCACGTGGTATTTCGGGGGCAAACTGATGATTTTAGTCATGAAAAATGTACAGTTCGAGTTCGCGAGGTTTTACGTCATTACTGCTTGTTGTTGTGACATTTACGGCCGCTACTTCGTCCAAAAAAAGTAGCAATGATTACTTTCACTCATAATTTGCCATTATTTTCTTCAAGATAAAAAGGTTAGTCATTTTTTGTTTCCGAATAGAATAACAAATTCGACCACGATTTCTTGCTATCAGCAGATTTAATTGGCCCACTGAAATACCACGTGACATTTCTTTTATCCCACTATTATTACTGCGCATACTTTCTGCACATCCCAATGAATTTGCGCTCTAAACGCGAGAAATGAGCAACACGCAGGACACGTGGACTGGTTAAAACTTTGTTATACTTGAAAGTCTCGGAGGGTCTAGTTGTTTCTTGTGGAAAAGATGCGTCCTTTTTCATCAGAGGACATATAAGTTGTATTATTTCCGCCGTATGAACGTTCAAGTTCATATTCGATTCACTCTGCAGCAAACAAAGGTGCCATCTGTATAAACTGCAATATTTTAAAACTGCAATCAAGGTCATAAATCAAGGCCGTGGTTTTGTTAGGGTTTTCATTAATCCCCCCTTTCGATCGCATTGCCATCATTTTAACTCCGGAGCGGTAATCCATCATCGTCCCACTCCCCTGCGTATCTTCGGCATTTTCAGAAGTTTGATCTTACTAGAGCCACCCAAACAGAAAAATAATGCTCTCAGCCTTTTGTGAAATGCAGCTGCACTTTTTTACTCTCAATCGCGCACGATGATTCATCAGTTTCACTGTAAGGTCCGTGAACCAAAAGTTTGTTATCGTACAATTGGGTCCAAACATGATCTAGTAAAGCTGTTCGTTTCAGGCTTCTGGTTTTTGAAAAGGTAGGGATTTCACTAGTTGAAGTATATCAAAGGGCAGAGAAATCTTTCATTTCGTTCTTCAAAAAAGCCTGCTCAAAATGGCCAACAGATTGCATTTTATGGCTGTGCAAAAGTCCAGAAAACGTTCCGGTTTTGTGGTTTAGTCCTATTTTAAAAACAACGAAGTTACAGCAGTCAAGTGAAAATTCCTAAACAAGGTATGTGAAATATGTACCATTTGTCAACGGAAGAGATACGAAAGCGGTACCTTTTCTTTCAAAAATGGCATGTAAAAGGATAAGGGGTTGAAACTCGGGGGGAGCCTCCCCGTATTAAACTTTGTTAAGTACCCCCGGGGATCAACGCGTTTTTGTCCTCAGCGGCCCTATATTCCCATCAAGTTTTTATAAAGCAAACGCAGACGGAACAGTTAAGGAGAAATTTGCAAATTATGTGTTTAGTTGACGTTTGCTCTTGCTTTTGTGCTTCCATGTCCCGGGGGGATTGGTGGAAACAAAGTCTTAAATGAGGAGGCTCCCTCGGCTCCGAAGTCCAACCCCTTACCCTTTAATTTCCCATTTTTAACAGAAAAGGTTCCCCTTTCTCATACCTTCTATTAACAAATGGTACCCCTTTCATATACCTGGTTAAGAATTTTGCATCCCTTTTAACTTTTGTAAATGCACTGACTTTTAAATATGAATAAATCACTAAACCAGAGAGTTTTCTCTACTTTTCACAGCCATAAATTGCATCTGTTAGCCTTTCTGGTCCTTTTCACAGACCGAAATGACAGATTTCTGTACCCTCTCAAATACTTCAACTAGTGAAATCCCTACCCTTTTAAATACCTGAAGCCTGAAAGATTTACCCCTCCTAGGCGGAGCCTCTCCGAACAGGCCATTATAAGAAGAATTTGTCAGTAGGGAAGGGAATTGTAGGAAGTAACCATCCTGCATTATTGGGAGTATTATTGTCAATTAGCATCTGTCAGTTTACTTGTTCGCGCATTTGAATTAAGTGACCAGCCTTAATTAATGAATTTTGGCCTACAATATCGGTCTTCTAGTACTGGTTATTTTATACTAGTGATGAACAACATCAACAGACCAAAAGATATTGTCAATTAATCTCTTTATTCTTCAATATTCCAAACCCCATTTGCGTACAGGTATTCTTGATCAGTTTAAGCAGACCTAAAAAGAAAAAAAAATGATACAGTCTATTTCTTTATTTGTACAGGGTAGAAAGTAAATACCATGCGTGTAACATATGGGAGATCATTTTTAGGGTATAAGTGGAGGAGGGTAGGTAGATTTCTGATTCCCCTTGAAGTGTGTGTTTTAGCTTTATTGCTATTTGAGGTGCGCCTGAGACTGATGAGTTGAATTGCATCCTCGAATTTTTTTTTGCATTTACAAACAAATTTAAGTTGGTAATGAAAGCCAATGAACCTGAACTGTGGATAGCTTCTTTAACAACATGCAACTTTATCAAAGTACAGAGTAACCGTTGAATGTTGATCGTTAATTCAGTTGGAAAAGGTCCCGAATGTGTCCGCTTAATAGAGGTTTCACTGTAATACTTTACAGTTCACTTACTGCCTTCACTTGTTGCACTTGTAATATAGATTCGCCTGTTTCGCGTCCAGCGGACTAAGCCGTCTACTGGGGCTTATCTTTTTTCCAGGCTTCTTGGCTCTTAAGGTGGGCAGAAAAACATATTTGCTGAAATCAAATCGTCCATAGTGCATCACGGATTCGTAGTCATACGGGACGCCTAAACTGTCGATGGACCACGTGGAGTATTTGTTGAAGTTGCTTTTTTTGCCTATGTATTTTTGAGAAGATTAATTAGGCAATAGGCTAACCAGTGGGATGATTTAAGATGATTAAGGGATATATCAATAAAGGAGATAACAACTAAAATTGAAAAAAAGGACAATTGAAAAGAATTCAAGAGGTTTCTGTAGGACTTTTAAATCCATACAGCGATTTTTCACATGAAGTCTCGGGCGGCGAGACGACCATATTGGCGCACTAAGACAATCCTGTGGTAGGTTAAATTCTTTTTTGTTATGTAAACCCTTTCTTTTTCATATTCATTTATATCAGGAGCCTATCAGGGCCTCTGTTTTTATATATTGCAAAGATGGTGGCCAGGTAAGAATTGGTCTTGAGCACTTGAGCTATAGCAAAGGGAATGCTCCTTCCTAAGTGGAGCAAAGTGACAGTATTCGTGACTGTTTTCAGTCTCGGCCTGCTTATAAAACATGTTTTGTTAAGAAAAAATATGTCTTCATAGAACATGTTTTGTTTGGAAAAAAATTGCTTTAGCTTTGATTTAAGCTTGTATCTAAGTCCAAGTTCCACTTACTTTCAATGATGTTGTCCCAAAGTACCTCTACGTATTCATCACGGTCTGGGCGACTTTGTTCGTGCCAGAATCCTGTAAATGCAATGACACGTCAGATTTTGGTTGTTGTTTGTTTAATAACTTATTTACATACTTAATTCATTTACACACGATAAAATCTTTAGTATTATTGACATTAAGAAGTTTTCAAGTTGGAATTATGAGCATGCAGCTGTATGGGAGCAGGTAGACCGGTTATTTCTCACAACCAAGCTGCTAAAAATAATTGTTGGCACTGATTACTGAAACTTTACGGCTATAATCGCATAAATTATTCTTTTCTTTTTCTCCTGCTATTTTTGAGCAAAATCTTCGCAGCAAATATCGTCTGAGAGGTACACTCAGCAAGGTTTTACCCGTGGAGGTTCCGCCCCAAGATCCAGCCCCTTACCCTTTTACACACCATTTCTGACAGAATAGGCGCATTCCCTTTTGTACACCTCCCACTGAAAAATGCTACTCGTACACATACCTACTAACACTTATTTTCATGTTGGGTTAAATGAATTAAATGCTACAGCCATAAGCTACATCTGTTGGATCCTTTCAGTTGTATACTACAACTCGTCAAATCCTTAACTTTTCATATTAGCTCATATTCCTGAATCCTGAAAAAGGTACCACATTTGGGAGGAGCCTTCTCGCATAAGCCATAATAGGGAGCGCTCCCCGAAATATCGTCACTATTGTATGTTGAGATACAAATCACCTGATACGATTGCTCATATAAAAAGCCATTATTAACATTCGTAGTTGTTAGTAGTAATTCCGGGGCACCCACGACTGTTTTCTGTAAAATATCTGTTCTGAGACGCAAATTTTGCTTAGAACTTTTTATTCCTGGAGGAGGGCTAAAAATTCCTAGATGACAGTTCCATTCATGTAAAATTTCAAAGCTCATCTAATAAATTCCCTACGATTTTCTGGAGTTTGATTTTTCACATTTCACTCCTCGGGTCACGTTATTTTTCGTAGAAGAAAGAAAACCAAATATTTTCGGATCCAGCCCTTGGTATTTCGAAAAAGACTCAAGTTCCCCTGGGATGACCGAAAAGATACAAATTTCATAGCGCCGCTTAGAATGCATGCACTTCTAGATATCTAAAAGTGCTCTGGATAGCCTAAAAAGTGTTTTCAATGTATTGAGGAGGAACCCGTCGTTGAGTGTCCCTGGTACAACGTTTACTTACCAATGGCGTGACCAATCTCGTGAACTGCAACATGCAAT